CATCCAATCATATGCAACTATTAGACGTAAGAGCTAATATTAAAATATCCCACACATAAGAGAATGGTTAATCGATGGATTGCCTCTCATGAAATAAAGTAGTATTAAGTCGTGAACCAACAGCTTATAGAACATATATAGGAGTTCTGATTGCTGTTCAAACAATAATAAATAAAAAAAATTTGAACTCACACTATTTAATTATTCTCGATTTAATAACTGATAAGTTATTATCTACATAATCTGGTATAAATAACTACTTGTTGACATAGGCTTTTCGTTGCTTAAATATTTTAATATAGATCCGTTAGAAGTTCAAGGTTACAGATCAATTAGTTAACTTCCAACACCATCAAAAATTTGGCAAAAATTATGATTGTTAGAATAGAACCTTATATTGATGATGGAAAGACATAACAAGAGAAATATAGACAATAGTTTGAAGAGACGTTAAGGAGTTGGCATTGGTTCCTCGTGCGAAAATAGAAACTTATTACACACGACAAAATTTACGTGTAACCATTATTAAACTAAATCATATTTCTTGAAAATTTACCTTTCGATAAACCAAAGACGAGCAGGCCACGCGGGTCCTCATTCCAACCACACGTTGTCTAAGTTCTGCATGGTGATCGATAATCACGGCTAAAGCGCTCATTGCCGAGAGCATTCCTGCAAATTGGAGGGCTTGCTTTTTTGTCACTTCTGAGTTGGTCTTGAAATACATGAGAAAACTGCCTAATAATAAGGGCTGTAGAGATCTAAATGTAAATCACCAAAATTATTTTCTATTTAGATAAATTTTTGATGCATACAAATAAAACTGCTTTGCATTATAATTCATTTATATAATCTATAATATAATAAACTACTGTAACTGTAAAGCTTACTTGATTCCTACAAAAGCAAGATAAAGTAATCCATCACAAAAATGACTCTTCCAAAATGTTCGAAGTAGCGCTTTATAAAATTTTGGTCTTCGATTTCGTTTTTCGGCATTATTAAGTTCCTCGTACCAATTTCTGAAACAAAACGTTTAATTATTTATCTTTTACCTATAAGTTTGTAAAAATAACTATTGTAGTTTCAGATATATTAACAAAATTATTCTTGTTGAAATTTAAATAAAATGACAAAATAAATGACAAGCTTGAAAAATTATTCTTAAAAGACTGTTTGAATGTTTAATTTTATTAATTTTTATTTAATGTTATATATTTGTAGTTTATATTAAGTGATACGTGTACAAAGCTATCTATGAACTCTTAATACTCTAATTTTCTCATATTATCTTTAGTTTATAATTTGTACACTTTAAAATGAAATTATATTGTATTATGGCCTTGGGCGTTGAATAAATAAATAAATAAATATGATAGACGAAATAAGAACTTCTTTTCATCAAAGTTATTGTTTTAATCAGTAATTTCAAATGACTAATTTGCTTCAAAGTATCAGATAAACAAATTATTTTCACGTTAGGTAAATCAGACCTTTAAATTATCAATTTATTTTATTTAATACGTTTGATACTTTATTATATGTGACAGGTGTACAGTAAAAACATTTTTTTCACGCAATTCAACAATAATTGGACGGTAAGTAGAATTTACTGATAACGTTGTTTTTTACAATAGTGACACAAAATACGTGCATAAACAGACCATTTTACCAGATATGACGTATTATTAAGTGAGATATATTGTAGAAAATATTAACATCATAGGCTTTAGATTTAAATACGAATTTAATTATATAGTCACTCCTTTATTTTTTTGCTCCTTGAAGTCTTTTGATTATTTATGTATATTTTATAAAATCTATATAAAAATTTAAAACTCTTACACTATATGATGCAATCAGAGTTTTTTCAGCTTCATGAACTTCATACAAATACTAGTATTAAAATTAGTTTAATGGAAAACACTGATTTCGTTCAATGAACATGTAGAGTTATATTTTATATAGATTTATTATAATTAAAGTTTAATGCGCATTGGCTAAAAAAATATGATCTATAATTTTCTATCTATTTATAAAAATGAATTACGTTGAATAGTAAATTGAGTGCACTTTTCGATATATGTGGCGCACAAATGTACAATTTTGATTGATGATAAACTTACAACATAGAGAAAAACATTAGGATATTCCTTGTACTAAATAAGATGAGGTCTTGAAGCAAATATTGAATTTTCTTATTCAAATATATATAATTTATAATAATAGAATTTCACCTTTCTAGCAAGTCACCAAGCGCCTTCGCTTGATCGTCTTCCACAGTTTTCGTGAGGTCCTTAGGGGTCAGACCCCGTTTGAATCCGCGCCATATAGTCGGTATCAACGACAAAAAGAACAATTTCGCAAAAGGGTTGCTATTTTGTAACGGATTTGTCTTTTTTGATTTTATAGTCGCGTCCATGACTGCCGGATTCAAATTAGAACACCAGACCTGAGACCAGTCCTCATTTTTCATCGACGGTACATTTGCCAACGGTGGGGACATTTCTGTAAAAAACCAAATAATTATTACTAGCGCAATTATTATCGCTGTTTTAATTTAAAATGCGCATATAATTAAGATTAAGGAAATTGCATTATATGCAATTCTATGAAAAATTAATGATGTAAAACTGCAATTGATAGATATAAAATAGAACAAAGAATAAATATGATTAATTTTTGTGCTAAGATAAATAAATTAAAATTCTTAAGAACCAACCTGCATTTGACGAACCTCCAGATATCAATTTGCTTTATTTATTCGTTTATGACAATATTCTCCACATCCATGAGCACCACTTAATATTTTTATCAAAACATTTTTTATATTAATTTAACATAAACATTGTTGACTGTACTATCTGCTTCACAAGTATAAAATCTCGATTGTATTTGCACTGATTCGAAACAGTCGACGTATTTACTTGTAACTCAAATATTAATCACAACCAAGAATGTTGATTCAAAAGGAAAATTGAGCATAAAAATATAAAAATATATTCTAGAGTTTAAAGTATTCGTCAAAGTTTTTAATTGACACTACAATGCAAATACAAAATATGTAACACTGATAACAAATTCAGCTCTTTGGGTTATATTTTTAGAATTTTATTAGCACAGTCATGTATTACTGACTTTTCATAAAAAATATATTGAAAAATAATTTATATTAAATTGAAACGCATTTTTTATTTCATAATTTCTTTAAATGCATTCACTTCTTAGTTTAATTTAAAATCCTTAACGAATATATTCTATGTACGAATCTAAATAACAAAGTAATGAAAACAATTATAATTTGTTTAAACATAATTGAAGACTGTTATTTATAATAATAATATCTAAAATAATGTTTCAATTTTCGACATCCATTCTGATTTTTTTATCATCTCTAAATCTTATGGTAGAAAACGGGATATACGCGTATATATTTAACATTTTTGGATTAAGTAGTTAATTTTTATTTTGAACGAAGTAATTCAAAATGATTTATTTAGGCCAAAATAGGCAATATAGAGATAGAAAAATTATATTTCAAATAAAATAAAATATGGCATTATAAATATATACAAAAATGTTTAAATGCAACCCTGGAAAAGAAAACTTTAATGAATATTATGTTCTAATCGACATATTATTACTCGCAAATTGCTTTACTCCATAAACTATAATTTTGAATTAGATAATATAATGCACGTGTACATGTAGAAACAATCTTCAAACTCGCAGATTTTAGATCATTTCAATATTTATTCAAGCAACCGCTTAAATTAAAATTAACTAACAGTCATGCATGCTTCTTTTTTACTAGTAATAAATATTTTTAAAAGGTAATATAATAAAGATTCATGTCGTTGTTCGTACATTTATATTTAAACAGATGTCATATGAATAAATATTGAGATTTGATTTTATCAAATATTTATATACACAATTCAAAACAAACTGCATAAAAGATTTGTACACCGAATATGCATTCCGTTTCAATTTATTATATTTATCAAATTTACTTTCCAGAAATTTGAATATTTTCTTGGCCTTGATCACTGTTATCAACTTTTGCATGAAAGTGATCCAACACGTGCGTTAATATCAATTCGTCAGAATCAGTACCACTACAATTTACCATTTCTCATAATCAATTACAAAACATAAATATTTAATCACACTTGAATGAGGATATATAATTTAAACTTTATTTTCAATCCATTCTCATACAAATGTTAATATTAAAGTCACATAATGCTGCATATTGACGCAAGTTTACATGCACAGTACATTATAGCAAGAATTTGTTGTTTACAACTTACAACCTCACAGGAATTTACTAAAGCTTCATTGAAATAATTGCGATGTACTAAATTAAAAAATTCTTTAAATGAACTATGTTAAAACTATGTTAAAATTGTCGAAGATAAACGCATAACGAATATGAAATTGTTGGAATAAATTACATATAAAAAACTTATAAATGAATTAGTTATAAATTATAAATGCACCGATAAAATTGCGTCTAAATACACTTAATGCGTAATACTTTTAAAAAATCAAAATCATATATGATTAAAATTTGTCAAAATATATACATTATTTATTTACAAAATTAATCGATTTTCAATATACATTAAGAGATAAGTACTATTTGACAAATTCACATGTCCAACAGACAATGTTAAGAAATGTTTTTATGAAAAGCGTAAACTTTACTCTATATGGAAGATCATTATTAAGTATAAAAATTTTATATTTATTAATCTCACACACAATATATAGCGTCTTATTATATAATTCAACTGAGTTTCACATGAATATCTTTATAGATATTTTATAGTAGTTTTAATTTATGTACATCAGTTTTATAGGCACTAAATGTAATAATATTTATAATATTTCATTTTATATAAGTCAAATTTATAAAAATATCAATTTTGTACATTAAATTCTATCACTAGATTTTCGTAAACATACATATAAAAATATGTAAATATTTTGTAACACGTAAATTAAAATATATCTAATTTAATACTTATTTTAAGAACAAACAACAAAATTAAAGCTAAGTATCGTTATATTGTGAACTATTAATCTAACCGTCTTTCGAGAGGAAGAAAACATAGATAATTTTAGGCTAAGATTATTAAGTAAATATTTTAAGTATTGATTATATTTAATATTAAAATTATATATAATATTCAATCATTAAAGTTATGGTCTGCGATTGCGTTTATAAACGGTAAGGTGGCATAAAAAGTTTAAAAATCAATGTATTAGTTTGAGAAATAACATTGAAAAAAAAAATCAAAATAAAGTTAATGATAAAAACAACTTTAAACCGCCTAACACTCTAGAACGCCTAAAAATCTTAGTCCGAAAAACATAAAGAAAAAAAAAACTTTTTGAATCAACATCCACATAAAAAAAAGAATTCGAAACAGTCTATAATTGGGAACGTGCACAGTAATTAAAGGCACATATTTAAATTACATTTAAAACATACTTATGAATTCTATATTAAGTAGTTATACTGCGAGTATAGAGAATCAAATTTTAATTCTATCAAAAAATCTCAAAAGTATATATTTCTGTCCAATCAACATGCATTTTAAAGTTTTCATATATATCACATATAACGTTTTAATATATGCATAGTACATTTTGACGTTGTATTGTACAATCACGATTAATTATGAATACTATTGTAATGCTGAAGAAGTTGGTCACCCGTTTTCATTCAACCAGACGCTAAAATTTGTTATAATTATAAAAACATTACGCTTAAAGTATTACTGTAATTAGTGAAAACATCGGTTTAAGACCGTATATTTATACACAGTGGTATAACGATAAGTTAAAAATGGCCCTAAATATTTAGAGCCAACGACCTATATGCTTCATCAACATGGACCTGATAAGTTCTAACCCTGCATTAATTTATAAAGCTTTGATATTACCCAACAGCATTCAGATCATCGTTTCCAAAGAACTTGTATGGACTTTGTTTTCAGCCGTTTTCCTAGCAATTGCCATAAGTTGTTCCGCTTCTTGTCGACCACTTTGATCCACCATGGATCGGAAAATTCCATCTTTGACATTTAACAATTCTATAGGAGAAGCAAACTCTGCAGCCTGGCCGGCATCCATAACCAACACCCGATCAGAATCCATGACGGTGTGAAGACGATGAGCGACCGTGAGAACTGTACATTCGGCGAAACGTGAACGAATCGTCCTTTGGATTAATATATCAGTTCTACAAAAAAAAAACAATTCCAAGTATTACTTAAATAGTACATCAACAACAATAATCAATAGTGCATACATAATGGTAAACTTACTGAGGGTCAACATTGGCCGTCGCTTCGTCCAGTACTAAGATCTTATTCTCTCTTAGAATAGCCCTGGCTAAGCATAGAAGTTGCCTTTGTCCGACACTGAAATTAGACCCGCCTGCCATAACTGGAGCTTGAAGACCCAAAGCACTTGCACCCAATTCTCCTAGTTCAACCTCATGCAGTGCAGTCCATACGGCGGCATCCGAATATTCTTCAAATGGATCAAGATTTCTAAAAAATATAAATTTGCTAAAATTATTACTAAATCATATATCAACAGCAATAATATATTATTTATCGTATTGACATAATATTTTAAAAGACCTCCGCCAGCACTTTTTTTATAGAACAGATTTGCAAAACTCTAAATCATTGTATTTTTTTCTAATTCAAATTTACCTTCGTAATGTTCCAGAAAACAGTACAGGATCTTGTGGAATGATGGACACTTTTGATCTTAGTTTATTCAAAGAAATTGTAGCCGTATCGATGCCATCAATTGTTATAGATCCTTCAACGCGGGCTAAGCGGAATATTGCCGCAATCAAGGACGATTTGCCAGCGCCTGTTCTTCCAACTATACCAATCTAAAACAGAAAACAAAATTATTTGGTTAAATGAATATATTTTTATAAAGCTTAACACTTTTATATATTCCTTTCATGTATAGCTAATATAAAACTAATTAAAAACCGGTGATAATCAATGAGAATTTCAAAAATCAGTGAAATTTTATTTTTATTTTTCTACCTTTTCTTTTTCGTTGATCTCTATATCCAAGTGTTTCAAAACTGGTTCCTCCCCTTCCACATAAGTTAAAGTCATGTCTTCAAACTTAATTGTACCTTTCTCTGGCCATAATTTAGGCACTTCTCTAGGAACCTTCGGTTCTGTTTCTGGCGGTAATGATTTATATTCAAGAACACGTTCCACTGCCATCATTTGGTTAGCAACTTCTGCACTTTGCCGGATACCCCATTGCATCATTCCGGTGAGGGCCATCGCCTGAGTGATGGCCAAACCGACTTGGTCGCCCAATCGTTCTGGTAAACAGAAATATAATATTTATTTTATTCATATTTTTTAGTTTTTAAAATAAATTTTAGTCATTTAAGAGAAACAAATATGAAAAATAACTAATATAAAATAATAAATCTAAAGATACATTAATATTATGATCATCCATTAAAACTATTACATACCTTGTCCTGCAATTAGAAAACTGAAAGTGACAGCAAATATAAATAGCAAGCACATCAGATCTAAGCTGAAACCAAAAGCAGTGCTAGTTGCAATGAACATGTACCATGCACCACTGTGGCGATCTTGATGTGAATCGAATTCACTCGTTAATTCACTTTGGGCTCCAAACGCCCTCACAGTCGACAAGCCAGCTAACGATGCTGCAAGGTGAGAATATGCTGGACTTCGGGCTTAAAAAATAAAATATTCTGATTTGAACACAAATTCAAAATTCAAAAACAATATAGCTTATTACAGTTTCATAAGTAAGCTATAAATAAATAAAATTCGATTAATGTTATCTGTAATTACAATACGTACTTATTCCTTCAAGACGTTTAATATTTTTTGATGTTTTTAAGTAAATTCTTCTCACAAATATGAAAACTATTCCAAGAACGCCGACAGCTATCAAAAATAATGGATTTACAGTTGCCGTTAATATTAAAGCGCCAACTATAGTCAGTATGATCTGAAAAGAATAGAATTAAATAAAATATACGATTTTTTTCAGCAAAGCTATGAATATACAAAATGTACCTGTGATGAATCAAGCAAGGCTTTAGGTAAAAATTCATCAATAGCGCCCATGTCTTTTGAAAATCTATTCATAATCCGTCCTGAAGGGTTTGTATCAAAAAATCGCATAGTTGTCTGAAAAAAAATTAAATTATTAATATTTATTTTATTCTACTAATATTTAAATTATCTGATTAGTTATACTTGTAAAATTCCTTTGAACATAGAATCATGTAATCTTTGAGAAGCCCGTACACATACAGTGTAGAAAAATATAGAACTGCAAATAATAAGAAAATACAGAAAATTAAACTAATCCAAAAATATTGAATCATAATATAATCTTTTCTACGAACCGAGTAATAGCTATTATAAATAGTGAAGCAACTAATCCTCCATGAATATACATGCAAGTTTCAGTGCTAAGTAAGTTTTCAGTATTACTTGATGTTTGGTTTGTAGATAAGTCATTAAAATCACTTGAATTTATCGTGGCAGATGAGTTATAGAAATGACGGAGTTCTTCTTGTGCAGTCCTGAAAATACAACAGTTATTACATAAGCTTTTAAATTAAAATAAAATCAACAAATTCGAGAGACTTTGAATCGAACTTACAAAAGAACGATAACAGACTTTCCAAGTATCATTTAATAGTTCACTAAATAAACAATAAAAAAATAATAATATTTAAGTGTTATATATTTTTGTTGAATGATAATCATTAAAATTCATTAAGGGTTATTATTATTATTATTATTCATTATAAAATTACCAGTATGAAACCCAATAATCAGCGGCACTAGCGGCAACTTGCGCTAACAAAAACAAGGCAAACATAGGCATCAACAGGATCGAGTTAGCACCAGCCTTGAAATATTGTGCTAGCAGAGATCCTTGAACCGTGCCTTTCGAAGATTTTTCAGCAACAGCTTGCGGACCTTCGTCGACATCCTCCTCTTGCTCTGAATCTGATTCATGAGTCGCAATAGAAGAAACTGACATTTTGCTCTAAAATAAATATTTGCGTTATTGGTTATAATATCGTTCGATTACTTACTTAACTTAAGAAATTACTTACTCTTGCTGATGTTTTTGATAACCTTCTTGTATATGGATCGGGAGACTCTACATTTTCTTGTTGACTGATTAATTTGGCTATATCTATTCCACTTCTTGATAAATCTTCGGGCGTTCCTTGCGCTTCAACTGTTCCCTGAAATAAATTTAAATATTTCAGTAATTTGTCAAATGCTGTGATTGATATAAATAATTTCAAATTTTTACAGTTGGCATTTTGAACTATTGTTAATAGTTAATAAAAAAGTTAATAAAATTACCCACATTATTCATTACGATGATCCAATCTGCTCCATTCAAATAATGTACTTGATGAGTGACAAGAATCCTAGTACATCCTTTTAATTGTCCTTTGGGTCCGATACATCTATCAAACAAATGCCGCCGACATGTGCGTCGACGCGGAGAGCGGGTCGTCCAGCAAGTAAAGGTCTGCACGGCGATAAACGGCTCGAGCTAAACTAACACGGGCGCGCTGACCTCCTGATAGAGATGCACCGCGTTCACCCACTAAAGAAATAATATTTGTTAAAATTAATTTCTTAAGAAGTAAATGAAGTATTGGTTAATTTAAATGAATCTATCTTTCAAACTAACAAACTTGTAAGATTATGTTCTCACTCGCTTGCTTAAGGGGTAATCTAGTGTAGAAATTCAAAAAATCGTTTTTTTTATTTCATATTTTCAAAGTTTAACTATCTAAGAATATGGGTACGAGAACGATTTTGAAAATTTGAATTATTTTCGGAGATATAAGCTTTTACTGACTCGGTCTCCATACTGGTTTGGCTTCACGCAAAACTTAAATGCGTTTTTCTCAGAACAGACTTTTTCAGTACTGTTGACAAGATTTCTCGAGTTTTAATCGACCGATTCACTTGAAATGTTCAGAGAGTCTTGTTTATAGACCTATCTATAGCCCGAACTAGGATTATCCCCAAATTCCAATTTTTACTATTTTTAAAAAATTCGAGAAACTCAAAAAAACAGTAAAAAACACTTTTTTTCCAAACAGTCGCCAATTTGTAAAAAAAATTTTTTACTCATCGCTAGTTCGGGCGATTGCGACATTATTGTAGATTAATAATCTTTTTATTTTTTGCATTTCCGATGGCTAGGAGGACTGAAATCATGTCAAGACTGAGGTGCTGATTTTTGAACCACCCACTTCATCAGCTGCCAGTTTTTACAATTTTCAACTTTTTTATTTTTTAATTTTTGTTTTGTATTTTAATAATATTAATAAACAAGTGGTAAACAAATGGATAGTAACAACATTCATTGCTTTCTTTCACTACACTTTAAAAATGACCTAAAATTCATCGCTCCACTCTAAAATACCCCCTTAACCAGAATATTTCTGGTTCCGGAAGGGCCTAGTATTGCGAGAAATATTTTCCGACGATTTTATCGCGAGACCTCCCATATAATTAAAAGTTCTATTATAAGACATTCTATACAATGCAAAGAATAAATTCTTTGCTGGATACATTAATCGTTAACCTTCGATTGCGATAAAAACTAAAGAGATTATCTATAAATATTTTGTAAAACGTAAGTAGAAAAGTAAATTCTAATACAACTGATTAAACTAAAACTTGCTTTATATAATTTCTCAATTCATAATATTCACTATTTTAGTATTCGAAAAGAATAGACAGTAGTAACTGATAGTAGTTACTCAATTATGAAGGTGATAATAATTTCCGACCATATCTATGTACTGGTCAGAAGAAAAGGCAAAACACAGCAATAATAAACAGACGCTAAGACGTTTCATGGTGCGTTAACATACTCCATTGCAAAACTAAAATACATTGTCAAGCTCATGCATCACAGCACGCCTAATTAAAACGTAATACAAATAGTGCTAACCGATAGTTTGATCGCCGTTCGGTAGTTGCGTGAAATCTCTTTGCAGCGCACAGCAACGTATCACATCGTTATAGCGCGATTTATCGTACGCCTGTCCGAATAGAATATTCTGCCTGACACTACTCGCAAATACCCAAGGCTCTTGACAGGCATAAGATACGCTTCCTAACACCTCGATGTCGCCTTTCGCCACGGGTAGCTCGCCAAGGATCAGTTGTAGGAGAGAACTCTAAAAACAATATCAAATTAACACAGTTTGTTGTAATGATATATGAGAAAATTACATAAGATTTACTACCTTGCCGGCGCCTACGCTGCCAATGACTCCAATCAATTTTCCTTTTGGAATGGTTAAAGTCAAGGAATTTAATGTGGGCTCATTTATTATGTCGTTTGTCCAACTGGCACATATATTTGATAGGATTACAACATTCTCGTTTAACGAAATCTGATGAAATTCTTCAGCTGAATTTAGCTAAAAATTATCAAATAATATTTAGCATTAATATTTTTCCCTATCATTATTTCATTTATTTTAACACTATTCCTACCGGGACCGCTCAAATGACCGTTTTTGATTTTTATATGCGGTTTCATATCAAACGTAATTGAATCGTTATCAAACTTTATGACTTTTCCTAATATGTGAGTATGTTACATTTTTCAATGTTAATTTGTTTTTTAAATTTTTATTTTTGGAAAAAAAATTGTATACTGTCTTACCTACCGCGACCGGTCATTTGACCGGTAGTTCAAGAAAATGTAAATTCAGAAGAATTTAGAGTGGTGTAAACTGCCTTCTGCAAATTTATATGCATTTTTTTCAATTCTGCACGCTTCGCACATGAGGCAAGGAGTACAAATATTGCACTTCTACGGTATAAAAAGTGGGTTATCTCATTTTTGCTCAATGTCTATGTGTAGACAGATTTTTACGAAGAAATCCAAACAACAAATTGATAGGTTTTGTTTTGAATCCAAAGGTTGGTTCAACTACATCGACATCAAATCAAATTGAAATAAAAAATGTTGTAAAAGACCACGTATTACTATCGTCAAACATATATTTTCAATAAAGGTGAAGTGTAAATTTAATAATATTCTGGAAAACGTAGTATAAAATTTTAGTAAACTTCAATATACAATGTAAATATAATTATAACCAGCAAATTGCACAAATGGGGTGTAAAATTTTGACAACCATCCAGTATACGTAGCAAACTGAAAATTTCTTTGAAGATTTGTAACCAATGAAACCGTATTTTCAAAATCGCTAGTACGATGTAAAAAATATATAACGTTTTTACCATCTTACTTATAGCTAAACTTTTAGTAAAAAAAAAACTGTGATGGTAATAACAATTGAAGAAATACAACAGCTACAAATACTGGTAGAACTAAAAATCAAGGACTTCATCACTCAAATAATATTTACAAATTTGGAAGCTAAGAAAGAAGGTTCTACTTTTCACTTACATACACATGCAGTATTATTTTAAACGTTGAAAAAATTACACTATAGTGCCGTATTATAATACGGGAGTCAATTCAATTGGTATTAGCGTCGTGTTTAGTGTAAATGTCATTAAAAAATAGTCGGAAATCATTCGGTAAAATATGAATTTTAGAGAGAATTTATCAAGGATTTACATTATTTTGGATTTATTCAGGATAAATCAGTTGTTTTCACCTAAAGAAATTACGGGAAGACGATGTACAAGGCAGTAACTTTCTATTCCAATTAACTTGCTGTATAGTTCCAACAAAAATTCAGAAAAAAATCAACTAAGTACAAGAACAAAACAGATTCCCTAAAAGAAAATATTCCAGATAATGTTTTAGAAAGTTGATAGGGCGAACAAAATCAGTCAAAAACGTAAAAAATGCGTGTGCAGAAAATACACTCTAAGAAAAAAAAAACGTAAAAAAATGTATAAAACACAATAAAATGTAGATTTCGCATTCTATAATAAAAGAAATATTTTGTTTTTGTATTTATAAACTCTTAATCTAGCATTAACTCTTCATTCAATACTGAAAAATATAGATTTTGCATGACCGGTCATTTGACCGGTCGCGGTAAGAATAGTAAACAAGAAATGAAATGTCGGTAGTGTTAAATATTTAAAGCGCATCATTCATTTGCCTTTGTGAACTTTAATAAAATCAGATATAAGAAAATAGTATAAAATAAACCAAAAAATCATAAAATAAGTTAATGTCTCCCAATGCTTTAGCTATTACAGATGTTAAGAAAGATCTTTTATTATGGTATAGGTAGTTTTAATCTTAATCTTTGCTTCCGACTTTTGAAGATCTTATATTTATTACTGACTCTATAAAATTACCTTATTCTTAATGTTCATGTTTATAATATCGGCATTGGCATTATTTTTTTCTTTATCAAGCATCTTTTCAGCTGCTATTTTTTCTTTGAGTAATTCATCTATAGATTTACGGCTCTGAAATTCTTCGTAATCCAAAAAGCGTTGCAATCTATTTATGGCTACCCAAGCTTCGGCTAATTCTGCTATGCCTCTCACAAACATTTGAGACATGGTTTGAGCCAGGATATTAAAATAAGATGACACAACGAATACCTAAAATAAAATCGAATAGTGTTAATAACATAATAAGGTACTAACGACGTCTAAACGGTGTACCTCACCTTCGCCGCCGTAAGTTCACCGTTCATTAGTGCGATCGCCAGCATCGTGCAGAACAAAGCCATTCTCGTTGTGAATAGCATAAAAGTCATGTAAAGTCTCGCACGTATGAATTTTTACGAACTACCTTAAGCTCGAGTCTTCTCGCTAATGCGACAAGATGCGTGTAAGGAATCTCCCAGGCGTACATTTTAATTACCTAATTAATAAGATGACATCGATTTCATGTCAATTATTTTAAATTGCAAATTATAACTTCGATAATTACATTATTATGAAACATGCCTGTACGCCAGATATAACCTCGTCCATAAGACGAACGCGTTCATCGGTTTTGAGTGCAGTCTGCAGTCGGAATATCGATGAAAGCTTTCCTGTATACGCTAAATTAATAATAATTATTTATTTACATTAAAAACTTGTGTAAGAGCATTGTTTACAAAGTGGATTTGGCACTAACATTGTATTGGAACAACTAGAAAGACAACTAGAATTCCGAAGATACCAGGCAGACCAATTTCATTCCATAGTAAATATGTCACTACTAAGCCCATCAATGGTGAAGACCACATATAGTGGATCAAAATAGATACTAAGTCAAACCTGCTAACATCATTTGATAAAAGATTCACAACTTTGCCTGGAGCGGTATCTCCTAATGAAATTCGCGATAAGCGAAGAGCCTACAATTATTAGGATATAATTAAAATCATAACATATAATAATATTGTTATAAGTGGTAATAAAAAAACCTTTCGATAAATAATACTGCAAACAGCCACTCGAACTTTCATCCCTAAATGGAAACCTCCAAAAATATATTGGTTAATAGTAATTACGCTTAATGCGTTCAAAATGACGATTCCACCAGCACACATCAATGCCTCTTCTTTCATGTTTTCTGCAAATATAATTCAATTCATAAGTAATAATTATAAACAATTTAATTGTAACATTTAAATTAAATAATATGTGAAATATACAAGTATATGTGCAGAAACCTATACACTTGCGCATGTTAATAAATTGTTATTAATTAAAAACATTCACAACCGCAATTAATTAAGAAATCAAACACCATAAATTTAAGACAGATGTAAGCTAGACACATAAAATAAAGATAAATAAACTTACCACTTCCATTTCTGAAAGTTTGTAATAATCTCCCGAGAAGCAAGGGCTGCCCAAGCCTAATAACGACTTCATTTAAAATTTGTATAAAACCCAATCTCGAAATTTCCCACCAAAATGTTCGAGCGATGGCTCGTATCAGTCTTGTTTTTGATTTTATTTGAGATTTTCTGGAAGCCCATTGTCTTGAAAATAGAAAAATAAAATAAATAACCATAGCAAATAAAAATAAGATTAATAATTAATTTTATAAATTACATTTTGAATTAGATCAAATTCAATGGTGTTAAAAATGTAATGATAATAAGTTGATAAAGCAATACAGATAATTTATATTAAAACGCAGTCAAAATTGAATATATATTAGTATTTATTTATTTATTTAGGTAACGCCCATTAAAAACCTAAGATCAGGATTATAGTATTATTTAATTAGCAATTGGAAGATTAAGGAATCTTCATTCTCACAGAGTTTAGTTATATGATAAATTATCTGTTGTATGTTAATTCTTTCGCAGAAATAATTTAATGAATCGATTTGAACACAAAATATTTTATTGCTAGACACTACCAGAATAACGTATGTGTACGTCTACGTGCAATGTATAATTAACTCGTATCGAGCGAGTTATAAAATACAAACAATACTTAGGTATGCCTGCAATGACATATAGCTCTATAAACTGAAATTTAATTTATTTTAATCGAAAGAGATTTATTTAAATGTGTAGTATTGTAAATTATACGCAAGTAAATCATTCAACACAAAATGCGTTGATAACCTTTCAAACAAAAGTGCAATGTAATAAATTTTATGCTGTCAGAGATATTTCTATCACACAAAAGACAATATAATTTTAATTATTTAATGCAATGTTGCATGTGCCCTATATTTATATGATAAAATATGAGTTTTTGTTTACAGTTTATTCAATTACAATTTTAAGCATTGCTATCATACGATAACGAGTTGCAAACTTAAAAAAATCATTTCTCACCAAAACAATAATTATATAATTTATTTTTTCAAAAATTTGCCTGGGTATATGCATCGTGGAAAACATAATATGTATTTTTTCATATTTTAATTATTGCAATATTTGCGAATCTATATATCACTCATATGATTGGAAATATTTATGAGATTTTCAGCATGTGCTATCATATGATAACGAGTTGAAGTACTTTATAAATATTTTAAAAAAATGTATTCAGTACAAACAAAATTTACTATTTCTTCAAAGATTAATGTTAGCATATATGAACTAAAGAAAAAAAACTTTCAACATTTTAATTATTTATTGCAATATTTGCTCTATATATCACTTTATATGATGAACTTTTGTTTACAATTTTTCTATTTACAATTACATCATTTTCTACGAATTGTAATAAATTATAGATGTTTCAGAAAAAAATTCATTCTACCTCTGCTGTAAGCAGCACATAGATTTAAATTTTTCAAAGATTTTTTGTCTGATGTATTTGTATCACAAAAAAGATGATAAGAATTTTTAAACATTTTAATTAATTAGAGCAATATTTGCGAATGCTCTATATATCACTCATATTATGGAAATATGAATTTTTATTATATTATATGGTATCATATGATACCGAAATAAAATACATTACAAATACATCAAAAAAGTTATTTACTATAACACTGTATTCACTACATAGAAAATGCAACAATGTTCAAAGATTTACCCTACATTTATTATTACTGCTGAAACTATGTCAAAATTATTAATAAATTTAACAATACTTGAAAATAGTAAAATGAAAACTTATAAAACATTTCTGAACAAATAATGATTGTAATTGTAAGAATGTATGTATTTATGTATAACACTAAAGAAAAATATCTCCATGTATCATTTTCAAATTCTCATAGAAAAAAATCACTTATTGAAAAATATTCATAGAAATAACTCCTGAATTGATAGCATAAATGATTACAGCACATGTTTCATAGGTGTGTTATTAACTCATTACCTTTTCATTGTATTGCTGTTTACGCAAGATGTTAATGATAAACACAAAACTTAAATAGTCATCATGATGAAATATATTACAGATTTATTTATAAGTAACTGAGAAATAAAATGACTAATCATATCTAGACAATGGGATTCACATCCATTTACTAACATACTTTATGAATTATGATTAAATATTTACAAATCATAATTTGAATCTAGTTTTATTCTGCAAGATTATATATGAAATGAATGAGAGAATAAAATGACATTGCTGTCCACGGGATGTTTATATTAGGTAAACAATGCAGTTTGTAAAGCAACACATAATTTGCTAGAACATCATACACAGGAAATCCTGTTCATGGATGAAAAATCAACTAATAGATAGACATACACAAAACATAGGCAATAATAAATTTAATCAACTAATAATCAGAAATTTATAACTTTAATAGAAATTTTAAGTTTTCTCGACTTTTTTTGTATATGTAATAATTATGGTCCGAAATTATTACTTTAGCTTCATCAATTTATGCATCAAAATATTTTTGTATTAATTAATTAATGTGAATGCTGTGATTTGATTCAGATACATTTTGCTCATTAAGATGTACCACATAATTTATCTAGGTATTATTTTTTATAGTTATAAATGTAATGATAAGTTAACAATGTCATCTATATGCAGTTCTATTTAACTCGATCGGATTACAAAAAGTTTTAGCGGCTTATAAACGTATATTCAGATTATGTTCATTCCTCTAAGTAGGTTTAGTAATGCAAAAGTAAAAGAGATAAATCCACTTTAAACACCGGCTATAACCTTTTAAAACACGGGTTTTGTTAAAGTTTTGATCACATGTATTAAAAATAATTATGTGTTTTACGTATTATTCGTGTCTCTTGAATATAATTCTATTGTTGAACCGGCATTGGTTATTAAGTAATTATTGCTGCTCCATGACATAAAAATTATATTGTCAAAGAATACTTATTCAACATTTAAAGGCACGCAAGCCAATCTTCGCAGCAATCACACAATATATTGTCCAATCAGCGTAATAATAATAATATTGATAATGTGGTCGCTGAAGGTAAATATTCAATTCATTCATGAATAATATTTGAATTATTTCACGCCCAAAAACTATTGTCATGCTATTTATATTTGCATTGGGTAAGACTGAGTATCGGCAAATATTTATTTTTCATACCCCTAAGTGGAAAGGGTTGTTCACCCGTATCATTATTGTTTATTTTTTCGACCAAAATTTTCTATTTTATTTTTTATAGCTCTAAATTATCACTTCTATCCCAGATTTGAAATGACATGTTTTGAATTTGATAGAAAACAAGCATTTCACTCAAAATTTCCAAAATTGAAATGTCTAAACTTTCAATTTCATAGATCAAATACACATAAACCAACCAAATTAGCTTTCTGGCAAAAATGAAAATTCTGCATTTTATTACCGTATTGTTTAAATCTTATTTAATAGTGACACGAGTAAACTAAACCACTGTCATATTTTTGCTCGTTATATCCATATATCATGGTTAACCAAATCGATAAATCAAATGTCATTTGAAAGTATTAAACATCTCTACAAATGCAAAATAATTATATATGGTTACTTAGATCATTCGTTAGAATATTTAATAGTAAATTTATTGCTTATGAAAGACACTGAGCTGATTTAATAATTTCTCTGACTATGATTGTAGATTCTTAGATATCCCTCAGAATGTAATATAATTACACAACTATGTTTAATATAATAAATTAATAAGGGTAATAATTCGAATACTTAGAATGTTTAACAAAAAAAGTCAATAAAGGCCATATTTATGTCAAACAATAAAAGTAAATGTGAATTAGACAGAAAATAAATATTTCCAAAAAGCACTGCCCAGTAGTGAATTCACAAAGTTTAAAATATACTTTCCGAAAACAATAGCTGAAGTAAAAATAAAACGTTTACGATTGAACCATAAAAATCTCGTAAAATATTTTACAAAATTTATGTTCACCAAATCGCATGCCATAATGCACCTAACAGCTTCATTTAGAGAGAACCTTCATCATATATAAGGATTTAATCTGTAATTTATCGCAGGAATCCAATAATTTAATAACTGGCTGTTTAGAAACTCGTAGTTTATGAAACATCAATGAAGCACCTAAACAGTTTTTAAAGCGAATTAAAATATGGGAGATATGATGTGATTAGTAGTTGAAAAAAAGAATATATGTATTATGATACATATAAAGTTCAAATGTAAAAATACTTAAAATATACCTTTTAAACACTTCAAATAAATTAGCAACAAATAACTACCAAAATAAAGTAATAAAAATATCGTAAAATATTTTACAAAATTTATGTTCAAATCGCATGCCATAATAGCTCATTAGAGAGAACCTTTCTAATTTATCTAAAGAATCTTCAAAAGTCCAATAATTTAATAACGCTGACAGTTCAAATAGTGGTAGGTTTTAAAAAATCTTTGCACTTCAACTGCTTGTGAATTAAAATATGTAAAGTCCAGGAATAAAATGACAAAGTTTCAACTAAATTGCCAATAAATAATTAAGAGATTAAATAAACTATATGTGATAAAATATCGTAAAATATTTACAAATTTATGTTCACCAAATCGCGTATCATAATGTACCTTACAGCTTTATTTCGAAGGAATCTTTCATCATATACAAGGATTTAATATGTAATTTATTACATGCACTTCACAAGAATGAGTTCGTCGGAAAGACAATGAAAATCTTAACACCTTCGCATTTGATAGTACCTAGAAATAGTTCTGTTGGATTTTTTGCATGTAGACGCACGAAAGCCTCAGACACGCATAGATAAAAGCAGTTCGCGCGACACTTACCTTGTATTAGCATCTAT